CTTAAACAAAGCTAGTAATATTATAAAATATCAAATATAAATTAATAACTACTTTTTAATAAATTGAATGCAGTTTTAAAACCTTGAATCATTTGATTATTTTGAGTGATTTAATTGTTTTGAGTAACTTAATTGTTTTGAGTAATTTGATTGTTTTGAGTAACTTGATTGTTTTGAGTAATTTGATTATTTTAAGTAATTTAATTGTTTTTGGTAGTTTGATTATCTAATTTAATTAATATAAAGCAATAGTATTAGATTTAAAAATAAAAACTGTTTATCTATTAGATAGTACTTACTGAATAATATATGATTATTATCAGGTGAAATTGCATTGTACAAATCTAAGATATTTTTTATTTGTAAGGTATCTTTTGGTTGCTTATAAGAAATTATACCACAACTTATTTTATGCCTTGAATTTGTCATTACTTTATAATCAAATTTATCTATATCTTTTAAAATTTGAATTAAGGTCTTTCAATCTGATTGATTTGTAATCTTTCTGTTTGACAACTCAATACCAGTTTCTTGTGTAATCATACACATAAAATTCTTAAGCTGGTTTTCTCCCATATATGCTTTTTTATACCAGATTTCTACTTGCTTAAGATCTATAATAAGGATAAATAAAAACAATACGGAATAATAACAATATTAAAATACAAATATATTTTATATATACCTTTAAGATCTTCAAGTAGTTGTAAGTAAAAATTCTTATTAGCTTTAAGAGATTATTTAGATAAGTAGAACTCATATAATTGAATAATTTCTTCATTTTGAGGTTGACATATTTTTTCATAGTTTAAGAATAAATTTAGTCCACATTGATTTGTTTTACTCTTATAAATCATAACTTTATAATTTCTGTCTTGCTATTTAATAAAGCTTGATGCTTTTAATGAATAATGTTCTCCACTTCATAATCCAAGAAATATAGCATTACAGAAGAATACATGTTTTAATAATCCTCATGAGTGTCCAATAAATGTAAAACAATGATTAAGAATTTTTTTGATTTTCTCTAAATTCAATCCATCAGATCCTTTAGTTTCACCTAACCTTTTTTTAGTAAGGTACTGAACTTTTCCTTCAATAAGTTTGTGCAATTGTAGAAATTTGTAATGATCAAGAAGATTAACTGGTTTTAGGTTGGATTTTTCATTAAGATAATGTGTAAATGCATTAATTGCTAATCTAATCGATGCAACTAAATAATCTAATCCATTTTTTTTTTTTTGTTTGAGCAAAGTAAAAAACAAGAACTTGCTCTAATTTAGCAAGTAACAGTATTTTATGAAGCTGAAATTGGTATCTATTTTTTTTTCTGTATTATTCAAATTGTAATACCTAATTATTGATGGTTTTTTCTGTATTTTTGACAATAGATTTTTGTAAAAAAAAATCTATTTCAGTTTGACTTGTTTGTGCAAAAGGTTTGTTATTACTTTTTTCTGACATCATTAATGAAAAAGAATTTTTAAACCAGATTTAAGAAAGAGTATATAAATTTATAATAATAAATTTTTTAATTATTTATATCATATTTTGATAATATAATGCTTATGAGTTGAAAGTTTATTTATAAAACATAAATAGTGTGATGTTCATGATCAATAACTACCATACTATAATACCAATATAACATAATAATTTTGAGGTACAGCATGTTAATACAGTAGCAATTTTTTGCCAGAATAATAATTGTCTATCCTGTGCCACTTTGTAACACATGACAGCCAATTGTTATTCTGGCAAAAAATTGCCACTGTACTAACATGTTGTTATCTCAAACTATCATACTATATTATATAAATATGTTTCTGACCTATATTAAAAGTGAACTATAACCTAATGTAAACTAATAAACTATTATTAAAACTATTATTATTTACATTATTTGCATCTTTATAAATCACTAAATTACATTTTGATCATTCATTATAAGTTATATAACCAAGCCATTAATGCAAAAGAAGAATCCAAATCTGATTCAACATATCATAACTCAAGGTTAAAAAAGTAAAAAGAAGACAAATGAAGGCAGGGTTTAATAGAAGAATAGATTAACGAAAGAACTTAGAGAGAAGAGTAATACTTACCTACAGATAAACCACCCAGTCAAATCTACTATGCCTATTTTGACTTAGCCATCATAGGTTATATAAAAATTGGAAGGAATTAGCAACAGACTTGCTAAATTACCAAACAACAATAGACACCATTTCAGTCACAAAAAACTATATTCTTCATTGCAATCCATTTCTGATATAAGAAAATAACTCTTTATAAAAAAAGTTGCAATCTGAATATTGGTTTGAATTTTAGCAGTTCTGATTAAAGGTAGGTCCAGTCAGTCACAGTAGTTATTAGTCAGTTATTGCTAATTATTGACTCATAACTGACTAACTACAGTTATTTGAATGATCATATTAGAGGCCTGCACAAGCCATACCAAACTTTTAAAATTTTAAAAACCTCTCAAAATTGCAGGCCTGATTAGGTATAGACATAATAAAACACAGGCTGAACTTTCAAAAAACATAGTAAATTTTATTTTGCAGACTAAGTGGGCCAGCAAAAGTCCAAAGTTATAGGCTCGTGCAGGTTCCTAAATCATATAACCAGTTATTAGCTAGGTTTGTGACAAAACTTTTCTGTCCATCCAAGTTTTAATCATCAGTATTAGTATCAGTATGTATGATGAACTACTACAACGTAATCATAAAAAAAACTCTGGTATATAATTTATATAGCATTATTAATTGCATTAAGCACAAAAAATGAATAATAATTATAACAATTACTATATATATTATGTAGCTAATAGTAATTTTGAATATATGTATTAATCAGCAATATAAGCCACAAAGATGATGTTTCTAGGTTTTTTGATGGTTACGCTGAGGAAGTTCAGTATAATGATTATTACTGTGACTGAGTTCTTGATAAATTACGTATAAAGTGAAACTTAAGATAAAACAGGATACCATGATGCAAATTAGTTATTCATATATGATCATGATTACTGACTTATCTTTAAACATCTTTCATTGCACTTCTAAATCATGAAAATCATGATCAACGGTACGAGTGTCATCATTAAATTTATTAATATGTATTATCTTATTAAATCCTATATCCAAATTTAGAAGTCTATAATCAGCGATAGTGGTCATATTTAATAATTTAATAATTTTTTAGAATCGATTTTTTTTTAAATAAACTATAGCTTATAATGTTTTATTGCACTTTGCAAAAAAGTGTAATCTCACAATTTTTGTAACAATGATAATGGGAAATTTCAGAGGTTCTAAATAGTCTATCAATCATATATTCAATTAGTAACATTTCTAACTAATTTGAAATCTGTAAAATTCTCTTAGAATCAAAAAACCGTCCAATTTCCCATAATTTTACATGTTATCATAATCTGTGAGGGTCTTACTTTTTTGCAAAGTGCAATAATTTCTAAGCTATATAGTTCAATCACTATCTATAATTCTTTCACTTTGACAAATAGTAGTGAAATTACACTGAAAATATATACACTTAAACTAGACATCAGATGTCAATTTTGGTTAATTTAGTTATATATATATACTAATTAAAATCTTACCAGAAACTATTCTTGTTTATGTCATAACAGCTTCTGCTGCATTAATATCAATTCTTTCAATTAAATTATTAATATAAGTAACTCTTAATATAAGAAAGTTGCCTGGTTCAGTCAAAATCTTATATCAGGTTTTATTATAAATTCTTAATTAGGATTTATGTCAAAAGTTTTTTCTATCAAGAATCACTTGTATTTGTAAATATACTCTGTTTAATAACCATATTTAACTATTCTACAATTATTTGTCACCACATCATTTGTGCTTATAAAAAAATTATGTAATATTTAAAATTGATAAATAGCATTTTTTAAATATACAGTATATATTATTATATTAAAATGTTAAATATCTATATAATTATAAAAATTAATATTAAAATACCCAATAGTACATTAAAGCAATAAACTAGATTCTCAATATAGAAATAGAATACAAAAATACCAACCTCAATAATATTATTTCAGATAAAATATGCATTGTTTTATTCAGATTTTCTTTTATTTTTTTACAAGTTTTATAAACTATTAACTATTTGTCAATTGGTTTAAAATTTGGTTTGATGTTTTTCAATCATTACTTATTTGCTTAAGAAGCTTAAACAGCTTGAAAGGCATTTTTCTGTATAATATACTATACATTACTGAAAATTATTTAAATAACACTCATGTGTACATACATCATCTAAGCAATATCTTATTATTGCTAGAATTATCTCATCATCTATCTACTAGTATTTATTTTGTCATTTTCTTTCTCATATCATTTTGGCTCATTCTTATCATCTATCTACTGGTATTCATTTGGCCATTTTCTTTTTCATATCGTTTTGGCTCATTCTCATCTGTAAGCACTTATCAAGGTGATCAAAAGGTTTCGAATTTTTCAACTTTTGTAGTACTTAGGTGTTTCGTTCATATTGTTTAGAATGGTAAGAAATAAATAACAGAAAAACCAGATTATGTTGATTAAAATTGATTATTAATCAATATATTAAGTTGTATTTTAAATTTAAATCCAGTTTTATAACATTTTTTTTAGGAGTATACTAGGTTCATGATATACATTATGTTGTACATTGTACAAACTCTGTTCTTGGTATACACTATGTTGTACTATATATTATACAAACTCTGTTCCTGGTATTATAATTATATGATAATTTGAGATAACATGCTGTATCTCAAAATTATCATACTATATTGGTATTATAGTACAGCAGTATTGATCATGAGCATTATACTATTTATATTTTTCAAATAACCTTTTGACTCGTATGCATTATATTATCAAAATATGATATAAATAATTAAAAAGTTTATCATTATAAATTTATATACTCTTTCTTAAATCTGGTTTAAAAATTCTTTTTTATTAATGATGTCAGAAAAAAGTAATAACAAACCTTTTGCTTAACCAAGTCAAACTGAAATAGATTTTTTTTTACAAAAATCTATTGTCAAAAATACAGAAAAAACTACCAATAATTGGGTATTACAATTTGAACAATACAGAAAAGAAAGTAAATACCAATTTCAGCTTCATGAAATATTGTCAATTACTGAATTAGAGCAAGTTCTTGTTTTTTATTTTACTCAAGCAAAAAAAAAAGATGGATTAGATTATTCAATTGCATCAATTAGATCAGCAATTAATGCATTTACATGTTACCTTAATGAAAAATTTAATCTAAAACCAGTTGATCTTCTTGATTGTTACAAATTTTCACAGTTGCACAAACTTCTTGAAGGAAAAGTTCAGTACCTTGCTGAAAAAAAGTTAGGTAAAACTAAAGGATCAGGTGGATTAAATTTAGAGAAAATCAAAAAAAATCTTAATCATTATTCTATATCTATTAGACACCTATAGGATTATTAAAATGTGTGTTCTTCTGTAATGCTATATTTCTTGGATTATGAGGTGGAGAACATTATTCATTAAAAGCATTAAGCTTTATTAAACAGCAAGACAGAAATTATGAAGTTGTGATTTATAAGAGTAAAACAAATCAATGTGGATTAAATTCATTCACAACTATGAAAAAATATGTCTACCTCAAAATAAAGAAATTATTCAATTATATGAGTTCTACTTATCTAAACAACCTCCTAAAGTTGATGAGAATTTTTACTTACAACCACTTGAAGATCTTAAAGGTATATATAAAATATATTTGTATTTTAATATTGTTATTATTCCGTATTGTAATTTTATTTATCGTTATTATAGATCCTGAGCAAGCAGAAATCTGGTATAAAAAAACGCATATGGGAGAGAACTGGCTTAAGAATTTTATGTGTATGATTACACAAGAAACTGGTATTGAGTTGTCAAACAGAAAGATTACAAATCAATCAGGTCGAAAGACCTTAATTCAAATTTTAAAAGAAATGGGTAAATCTGATTATGAAGTAATGACAAATTCAAGGCATAAAACAATTCGTGGTATGATTTCTTATGAGTGACCAAAAGATACCTTACAAATAAAAATATCTCAGATTTGTACGATGCAATTTCACCCAATAATAATCAGATATAATTCAGTAAGTACTATCTAATGGATAAACAGTTTTTATTTTTAAATCTAATACTATCGCTTTATATTAATTAAATTAGATAATCGAACTACCCAAAACAATCAAATTACTCAAAATAATCAAGTTACTCAAAACAATCAAGTTACTCAAAACAATCAAGTTACTCAAAACAATCAAATCGCTCAAAATAATCAAACGATTCAAGGTTTTAAAACCGCATCCGATTTATTAAAAGGTAGTTATTAATTTATACTTGACATTTTATAATATTACTAGCTTTGTTTGAGAAAATTTTACAATAATAAATTATTTTTTTAGAATAATCACCTCTACTAAATATCGATATTAATACTTACTCATGACCAACAAGATTACCATTGCAAACGATTTCAACAAACTCTAATACGGTTCAGGAAGATAATCATAATGGAAGCATTCGAGAGATTTTACATAGTGCTCAGTTCATTAATTCTTCAATTGTATTAAATATTCATCATCATTATTCACATCCGCCACAATAAAATTTTATTAGCATAATAGTGTTAATAAAAAAAATGACTTTATAAATAATATTAGCACTAGCGTTAGTATTAAAATATGTATGACATAAATCATTCAATATAACAAGGACGGATGATGTCAGCTATATAATGCAAAATTTATCATAATTTATAACATAAATAGTGTGACGCTCATGATCAATAGTGGCCGTGCTATAATAATCAGTATAATTAATAATAAGTATATATGGGATAATGAATATAAGTGCTATATCACGAATAGAATATAACGTGCCTTATGTAAAAAGAAAGTATATAATAAAGGCTTCGAACTCTACAAAGAAGACATTTGTAGTTCGTGATCTAAATAAAATTTGTCCCCTAATAATTATAACTATAATAATACCTACAACCATAAACTATCTACTCTCCAAATATAATACGTTCTTTCGACTAAGCCGACTTGTAGGTTACACGATGTATCCGATTGCGAAGCGACTGACTCGCCGTTTAAGGTCGTCTCTATAAATCAATAATTTTGTGTTTAACCGAATGTTACAGACTAATAGATTGATTAATATTGTAAAAAATGGATCAGCCGTTCTCGAAATATAGCTATTAAACGGTGCCAAACATTAAAACTAGAGTTAGTGTAAGTGCTTAAAGACCATGTAAAACACTTTCAATTTTAAATGATCAACAATACAGTATGTAATAATAAAATGTCAGAGATTATACTAAGAAGGATAATGCTGAAATTTGATGTCTTGGTATGAAAATATAAACTCTTCTATAATCCATATATACCCTTTTATTATGAATTCTAACTATAACTCTAATCAAATTTCAGCATCATCTCGACAATAATGTGTTATGCAAATTACAAGTTTTATTTGCAATAAAAATATCCTGATCCGTTGGGCATTAGCGGAACTTAGTTTCCGCTTGTACACATACGGTCAGGGTATTTACACTATTATAAACTATTAGATTCCATAAATTAGATCTCATAAATGAAATGTTTTGATATCGCACTATTTTCTGTATTAGACTCGAGTAATTTTTATGTCTTTAATATTTTGAATTAAATTCATTAAAACAATTAAAATAAAACATTATTATTTTAATTTTAAATACGTTGTTATTGTAAAAAAAAACCCGAGTTTTTGCAATGGATTATATCAGCATTGCGTGGTCTTAACGATACTAAGTGATATTTTTTAAAAATATAAATAAGATTTAGAAAGAACAAATAATATTAATTATTAAATAAAAACAAGAAATAAATTACAATAAGTTATAATTGATTTATGCTGTAACTAGTTATAATATAAGCTTTAGCCAGTACAATTTAAGCTATAATAGCATTTACCAAATTATAAAGGACTAAAGTACAAATATTAACATTAAAATTTTAAGAATGTTGAAAACTTAAAAAGTGTATTTTTGTAAACTTTAAATAATTTGAATAAATAATAATGGATCCGATAATTTCATGAAATAGATAATAAATCAAATGATGATTAAATGTGAGCAAATTTAGTTTTGAACCATTCATCGTATTGACGTAAAAGTTTGAACTAGAGATAAAGAATGAAAAATTAATACGTTTATCTAGGAAATGATTAATAATTATATATCGGATAACAGAATAAGACAGCTTACCCCACTTTTCATTATTTTAAAATAATTAGTGCATAAACGAAAGATTAATATCAAAATTTCTTCGAAAGATAATTATATTGGATAACTTAATACAATAACTTACCATCTATTTATTGTTTAAACAAAATGTGAACAAATAAAATATTGGTTTTAAAATTGGTTTAAATGATAATTGTATTGGAAAACGGAAAAATTACTTACAGGCTTACAAGCTATTCATTATTTTAAATAAAAAAATGTATAAATAAAATATTAGTATTAAAATTGGTTCAAATAATAATTATACTGGATAACATAATAAAATAACTTACATTCTATTATTATTTTATATAAATAAGGGTATAAATAAAAAATTAGCATTAAAATTGTTTCAAAAGTAATTATATTGGATGACAGAATAAAATACTTACGTGCTATTTATGATTTTAGAAAAATAAGTAGACACGAATAAGATTAAATTAAAAAATAATGCTAATGTATAACAGAATAAAGTAACTTACCATCTATTTTTATTTTTAACAAATAAGTAAATAAATAAAAATATTAGTATTAAAATTGGTTCAAAAGCTAATTATATTGGATATTAGAATTAAATAACTTACCCTCCCCTATACGTTGTTTTTCAAAGATAATTTTATTAGATAACAGAATAAAATAAAGATTAGTATTAAAATTGTATCAAAAACCAATTATAATGGAAACGTAATAAAATGACTTACCCACTAACATTATTTTAAATAAGTGTATGAACGAAAGGATTAGTATCGAAATTATTTCGAAGATAATTATATTAAATAACAGGAAAATAACTTACTCGCTATTCATTAAATAAATGAGTTATAAACGAAATGATTAATATCGAACTTATTTCGAAAGAGAGTTAATTAGAGAACAGAGAAATAACTTACTTGCTATTAATTAAATAAATAAGTTACAAACGAAAGGATTAGTATCGAAATTATTCGAAAGACAATTATATTAAATAACAGAAAAATAACTTACGGTCTATGATTATTTATATAAATAAGTATATAAATGAAAGATTATTATTAAAATTGGTTCAAAATCCAATTAAACAGAAAAATTACTTACGGGTCGCTATTCATTATTTTAAATAAATAAGTGTATAACCGAAAGATTAGTATCGAAATTATTTCAAAAGATAATTATATTAGATGATAGAATAGAATAACTTACGCCCTATTATTATTTTAGATGAATAAATGTGAATATGAAATATTAGTATCAAATTATTTCAAATGATAATTATATTGAAAAACAGAATAAGGTACTTACATATCACGGACTACCAAACCAGGATTCATTTCATCAGGCACGGGAGCGGCCATTGCATTAAATGCATTAGCAATAACAAAAGTAGTCAATAAAAAAAGATTTTGCCTCAAAAGATCTAACATCGTTTTGGTTTTTCTGTCAATTTTTGTTAATTTTTTACTTTTTGTTGTAGGATTCTTATTAAAACTGTAAAATTTGAGCGTGTATTTATATTAAATCAGAAGCAACCAAAAGTATTTATTTATCACTTGAAAAGATACTGAATTAAAAATCTATAGCAATCTGTTTCACATTATTTTTCAATTTAGGTTAATTATTAATTAACTCGATTACAAATAGTCTCTAATCGAATTGGTTGTACTGAACAACCCGTTCGAAGATCTCATCCGTTTCCATTTGACTAATGACATATGTAATTACGTAAGTAAATTAAACCTGAACTATCTCTGCGTATTATTGTACAAATTCGAGCACATGTGGCTTAAGGTCTTGTGTTGGATGAAAATAAAAAAAATGCATAGTAATACTTTTATTTTGCCAGCGTGTTGATTAGATTGCTGGCGAGAAAGTCTTAAGAAATATAAATCTATTAATACCCATTATATAGCATTGAATAGAAAGATTTTAAACATTAAATTAATGATCTAATTATTTCAGTTGTTATTATTAATTAGCATTTAAAATCCTCAATTTGCAAATCAATGTCTAACCCGATTTAGTTTTCTGATTGTTAGGAGCACTAGACTTGGAATGATCTTAATGCAGATTAGAGATGAATATTACTAAATATTCGGATAAAATTTTGATTTCAGGTAATTTAACAGCTATCTGATATAATAATAAGATTGTGCTTTATATAAGTTGTCATTAGCAAACTATAACGATAGGAGAGATAAAATTCATGATCGAAAGTAATGATTCTTTATTCAGTTTATCCGGATATCTGTCAGAGTAAGTCACGAATAGATAAGCAGATACGGATAAGCTAAATTTTAAATGAATGATAGACGGATCCCATCTTTATTCCAGACCATATGTTCTATCATCATTCTCCTTATCAGGAGATTTCTAATAATAATCGGATGTTCTCCTCGTTATTTGATAACATCAGACATGATTATATGTTCTATGAGCTTCTCAGATTCCGCAGATCATTTATTTCTATTAAGAATTGAGAACGAATGAATCACCAGACATTAAGATATATTTGCTGCTTTTGCTTTTGTCATCAGTTTTTTTCCTTCTTGTTCGTTACACTAACCTTATAAAAAGAGTGTATAAAATTTGCCGAAATTTGGTATGCGCGTGAAAAATGTCTAAAATGGCATTATTCTGTTTAGTTTTGTCTGAATTTTAATTTAATTGAAATAAAACAAAAATTGGACCAAAATTAGGCGTAATGGCGTTTTTCAAACATTTTTCAGACATTTTTCACACAGATAACACAGACTTTTGACAATCCTTTTTTATAGGGTGACATATTTTTCATTTATAATAATTTCCAACCTTATATATACTGTTTATATATCCTGCCTTCTCTAATCCATTGCTATTTTTATAAATTCCGAACATGACTATTTCTTATGTTGCATATTGTAATACGGTAGTATTTTCTGCCAGCAATTGCATCACAATGATATAATAGTCTATGCGTATATTAGCTCATGCTACACGTTCATGCAATCGTACTGATATAATTGTTTAAATCAATCATTATAATTATTAACTAAATAAGAAGATTCAATTAAAATATAATACTTAATAGAATAATTCTAATTTACACCACGTGTATTTATCATTTGAAGCACTTCAGAACCATGTGTAATGTATAAAAAATAAATTTTTGAAAAAAATGATTACCTCAAAATTTTGCTTATTAAACCACTTTTTGAATCGAATCCAAAATTTTATTGCTAAACTTTACTATATAATATGCCCTATTCTAATCTTTTATCCTTATTCTTACCCTAATATTAAAATGATCAAATCTTGGTTTAATAAATTTTGTATCGTAAATCGCAGATGAGAAAGAACTCAAAAAGTATAATTTTGGATAATCAAGTTTATTGTGTTTATATTCATCCAGAAATTTTGTGATTTTATTGGTTAGTAATTTTATCGTGCCAATATTTATCCGCCGGGGCGAGCGTAGAGGGCTTTTAACGTGATTGGCAGATTTTTGCAGATCATTTCGTGACATTTGCAAAATATAGGGCTAGCAATGCATCTAAAAAATTTCGCGCATATGTGATCCTATTAAAAAAATTTTCGCTAAGGTCCTACCAGTAAACTAGTGTTTGGTTTAGAGGGTTATACTTATAATAAAATTTCCCGAGAAAAATTTTTTGTTAGTACGCAGAAGGCACTTTCATAAGCAAAATATTAAGATATATGCGTTTTCTTTTATTTTGATTTTTTTGTACTTCTTTTACGTCACATCTGATCTCGAAATCTGATTGGCTATCGAAATTTTTTAGATTGGGTATTTTAAACACTGTTTTTGCAAAACATGATTGGTTAATCGATAATCAAAAATCATTTAACGTTAAAATTTTTATATAAAACTAAATTGTAGCAAAATATTTTATATAAGACTAAATTGGCCCTAATAAATATTACTACGACATCTCACAATTAAGAATCTAAGACCATAAGCCCAGCACAACAAGATCCCGTAAACCAAGAGCTTATTGAATACATACACGAATTAAAAAAAATAATAGAAATAATAAAACAAAAGATACAGAAGTACAAAAAACAAATCAAAAACAATACTAGTTTTATTGACATTAAACAATTTGATCCTAATAACCTTAATAATAATCACGTGGCATCACACTCTAATCTCAAAATTTACAAACTTATACTTTATTACTTCGTACTGCTAGGCTTGTTATTAAATTATTTCACTACCTCGTGTTGCTATGCTTGCTACTAAATTATTTCGCTAAACTATTTTACTGGCGGTACCTGTCTTGGACTTATGAATAAAGCATAATAAAATAAATTAGCGAAAATAAAGTCTTTCAGAAACAAATTACTAAACTTATGACTTATCGGCTAAATTGAAATGTTCAGACATACCTCTCATTTAACTTCCGAATTGCTTCTCGGAATATTGAATTACTTTGACTGTTTATAAAGTAAGATGTGAAGTTTCTAATTTTGCTTGTCTTACCTCTTGGAATTCGTATTTGTAGCTCGGAATTCAATCTTGTGACGGAAAATCGTTGCTTTAATAAGAGATGATCAACATAAATTTGCCAATCAGAATGAAAATCTGCCTTACTGCCGGGACGCAATTTATCCAGACCAGAACCTTATTTTTGATTTTCAGGAGTAGTTTGAGCTATTTCTACTTCAATAGAATATTTTTTTAATGAGATTTATTATAAAATTTTAAATTAAATTGTTTCGGAAGATTAATTAACAAATTTACAAGTTTTGATCACTTGTCCAACTGTAGTTTAAGTAAAAGTCTTAAGAACTTGGACTTCAAAAAAGTTGCAACATAAATTTATATTATCACCATTTTCAAATTACTGTGGCCATCAAATTTTATGCATAACACACACGTATAATCTGAAAATAGAAAATACCAGGAACGGAGTTTGCACAACGTACAACGTAGTGTATGGTTTACCTGCAAGTTAAGTGAGTGTTTACAAAAAAGTAGCTGCGCAACGTTGTCGCGCGAAACTAGGAACGGGAGAAATCTATACAGGCACCACTTCAGTCACGGGAAACCATACTCTTCATTGTAATCTATTCCTGGTATAAGAAAATGACTCTTTATAAAAGAAGTTGATAGCACTTGCAATCTGAATATTGGTTTGAAT